AGCACATATATTTTTAAATTCTAGCTTTGAAGAGGATCCCATGGTTGACTAATAAAAAGAAAATACCGGGATCGAAACGTCAATAAACAGAAGAAATGAACATTAATTAGTTTATTAAATAATAATTAAGTGACCTTATTCCCAATAAAATAGTGAAGTTTGAATTTAATACTCAAAGGTCGATGAAGGAAAAGTTGTCCGGCTGCTCCCGCGCAGCTCAGTGAAACTAAAACTTACATGATTATGGTTTTATTTTAACTTATAATTAAATGTTCTTAATTGAGTTCACACTCAAGGTCTCATATTTAACGTGGAATTAACCTTTTTTATGTCGGCTCCAGGGAAACTCTTACCATATTCGTGAAGGTGAGTAGTATTGGAAGTCTGACAAGTTCGATGTACCATGAGTACATGAAGAAATAACATATAAATGTGGTGATGGCCAGGGTATGTATTTTTTAATATACTGATTTGGTTTATTCTAAATTTATATTCATTATAAAATATTCTATAGTTTTAAAATATTTTATATACATTGTAAATATGATAGCATTGTAAATTATACCTCTTTTCTTTTCTTTTTTTTTTTTTTTTTAATATTACAATCTGTCTCAAAGGACATTTATAATAGTGTTCAGAGATCACATTTACACATTTACAGTAATAATAATATATGTATATATACAATAAATAAGTATAAAATAACCTAAAAACAAATAAATAAAAAAGAACATATATATGTACTATGTACAATCAGGCGAGAGAACTCCGAGCCAAACTTGTCTCTCCAACTGTGGAGGGAAAAGCATGACTCCAGGAGATTCCTACCCTCCTCTCTCAACCTTCGTCACTGGTGCTAAACCCAATGAAGTTTGAGCGAGGGTGCTCTTTTATGATCCAACAAGGTAAATGTAAATAAATACAAAACTAAGACTTGAAGATAGGCAAAGTGAGCCCGAAAAATCGTCAAATGTAATATGAATCAAATAAATGAAACATATTTAAAAGAGTTCAATAATTTTTCTGAAACTATTATGTACCTATATCCCCACAACCCTTAAAAGGTCTTGGGTTCAGTACTGTTTTTTGCTCAATGGTTACGTAAAGAGGTGATTTGATAAAGCAAAGTTCGTTACTCACCGATCTATCCTCCATCTACAGAATGATTACACTATAATAGATTATAAAATACAACACAATTAAGGCCTTTATATAATCCTATGTTTTAGTAAATATCGTAAGTTTATTACAAAAAGTCAATAAGCATTTCATAAACTTCAATAATTAGGAGCTTTGAAGAATTTTCCCTTTATAAAATCAGAAACTTGTTGTAGCTACACTTAATACATAAAAGGGTAGGTTTCATATTTATGCACTTACAGTTTTTTTGTATCAATAAATATAATCGAAATTCACAAAGCTTATTTGAAAGTTAACCTATATCAAAATTACACTGACTTTTTTTCCTTAATATTACAGACAAAATAAGTTGAAAAAAATTAATAAATAAATAAAGGAAATTATTTATGAAAAATTATAAATAAAATGTTAAATAGTTAATAATAAGCTTTTTTCTTATTTATTCTTTCGTATACATATGTTTTGTAATATATTTTGTTTTATTTTCTTATTCCTTAGGTTTTACATAAAATATTATTTAGAAACGTTGGTATGTTTAATAATTGATCAAATATTGAGAAAGTCGCCAAATATAATGGTATTTTAGAATATAAATATATGAAATGATTTAGGTTTTCTGTTATATTTGGCTTTATAGATGATGGTGACTTTGTTGATTCTAAATACCACACCTACCTCGGTCTATTTTATATATATATATTTTTTTTTATAGATTACTTGTTCATCTGTCTCAATTAAAATAGAATTCAGAGAGCACATTCCACACCATATTTACAGAATCATAAATAAATAAGGTAACAACAACATAGTATCCAGCGAAATAGGAGCAAAATAAAATACCATAATGAGGAAAGAAAATAATAATAAAAAATAAATAAATAAAATAGAATAATATGTTCATTTTAGAATCAGGTTTTCACTTTGGAGTTAGCATGTTCGCAGTAAATTTGTTGATTCAATCTGAAATAGTCTTGGATACAATAGACAAAAGTAGAGTCACACTTTGCCAATGACATATTCGAGACTTAATTAACGCCAAAGTGTCGTTATAATAGCAAGAAGGAAACATGGAACAAATGACATGACATCTCTTAATCACATTTGGTTTTGTTCCATTTTTCCCCTACGTTGGTTTCTTAGTACGCATAAGGGATAAATGCTTCATCATTCTTCCTATCATTTAGTTAATTGTGCTCAGAATGTCAGGCCAAATAACGTATATCATCTTATTGATCTGAAGGTTACTTAAACGCGTCACTAGTCAAAGGACACCTTGGATTCCGAAAACGACGAAGGCAAGCCATTGCCAAGTAGGAGTCGAGATTAGATAATGCTCTCCGATCTTGTACATCCGGCGAAGGGCACTGCTGTTCCGGAGGCTGATTTGAATAAGGGATGGGTAATCCAGAGAGAGCCATCAGCCGAAACGGTAGGCTGCCTCTTCTTCAGGAATTCAGAGGTCACATTCAAACCTTATCGCTAAGGTCGACGGGCTCAATGAGGTGTACTTTGCAGAGTTTTCAGGAAACAGCTTTCGGCATTGTCACCAGCTAAAGACGGAAATAGCTCAATGATGGAGTGAAGCAATCACTGTTAGCTATGTAAGGAACAATGATGCACGTCAAACCAACGTGATGTTTGTAAGGTATCGCAGAACATCATATCTTAAGACTCAAAAAGCCAGATTTTATTAAAATAAAATTTCAATTATCAAAATAATAATATTGATAAATAAATTTATCCCTATACCGAGTTAGAATCTTCTCTGAAGTTCCTGAAGATGAAAGTAGTTATTTTAGTTTTTTTATACCGACTATTTTACGAATGATGCCAAATGTGGTGAACACCAAACATTTATTGCGAGTTTAGTAACATAACAAATAATTAATTAAGCACACAACTAGATGATATGGTATTGTATCGTGGTTTGGAAATTAAATTTCCAGTGCTCTTTTTTATTATATTTTTTCTTTCCTAATGCGATATAATTATTATAATTTTCAGAAGAAAAAAAACTTGCTCTTAAAGTAATAGGTATTATTGAGGTATTGAAATAATAAAAATATCAAATTAAGGGTGCACAATATGAATATGATAACTAGTTCTATAGTAAGAATAGTTCTGGTATTAGCTGCACCCTAGAAAGAAGTATTGAAAGATTTGCGAGAAAAACTACGCGCGATGACGGGAGAGAACTGGGATTAGAGTACTAGTGGATGGAGGGTAAAAATCAATAAATAGCTGCTCACAGAAACTTGTCGATCAATATCGCATGACATGAAGGCAAGGAAGTTATGATGGGCATGGCATGCAGCTCGGAGTAACCCATCAGGAAGCCTCCTCACAACAATGAATGCCTTACAAAAGAGCAGATGGAAGGGCAAAAACCAGAAGGATGGATCGAATCAACAGATGTAATTGAGCTGCATGCAGATAACTTGATAGAAATAGCCAAGATGGCAGAGATAGAGATGGCGGCAAAAGATCTACAAATCTGGAATATCAACAGAAAAAAAATTCTCTATATATTATTGTGAACGTGTTTTCATTTTTACTAATCCTTGTTTTATTATTTATGTATAATAACTGAGTTTTAGGTTCTTTATATTATATACAAAAATATAAGGAATAATAATATATTAAATTAATTTCAGTAATACCTACAGGTTTTTGGATTTGTTTGAGACCAATAATGTGTATGTTATCAATAATATTGAAAGCAAATAATTAAAAAGGTTAACAGTTTTTAAAAAGTGACAACAAAAGCTCAAAGCGCTAAACAAATCACGAATTATAAATAAAAATAGTATAAAGATCTTATTAATCTTTCCTATCACATTATGCAATGAAAATGATTAGTGCCTAGTTTAGGCCTTCAACAATTTTAACAAAACACCTAAATTTACAAAAGTGGTATTCACTTTGGAAAATTAGATTAAATCATTACAAATCACAGCATATAACATTTACACTTCGACGAGACACATACCCACCAGTTTATATCGCCAATTCCTCAGACTGACACTGTACGTTATCTCGTGCTATTATTCGCCAGAAGGATTAGCAGGGACCACATGTCAAAATGAAACGAAAGACTATGAACAAACGACTGAAAATACTATACTCCCTTTTTTCCAAATCAAAATTGAAAATCAGACAAAAACTAAATACGTACACTTACCTACTCAAATCCATATGGACATACGCCTCGCAAATTTACGGTTCTGCAAAAATGACGCACTTACAAAAACTACAATCAACTCAATCCAAAATTTTAAGATTAATAACAGCAGCTCCCTGGTACATAAACAACAAAACTTTACATACTGACTTACAACAACCAACTATCGACCAACACATACGTACTCTCTACTCCCGATTTCATCTTAAACTACGCTTACATCACAACGGACTTATCAACGACATGGCCACAGCTGACAAGCCCATCAGGAGACGACTAAAGAAGCTGGATGAGAAATCTCCTTTCCTAAATTATGAAGTAGACCAAAACCAGGAAGAGGCACTACTGGGTACTAATCTTCCTCATGCCTTAAATGCCAAATTTCTTTACAATGAGATCGCATCTGCTTATTGTCAATACTACGAAAGGTGTGGATAGAAGTGTGAAGAGAGAAAAAAAAAAAGTTCAAAACGATCCTTTTTTAAAAATTAAATGAATATATATCATTTAGGAAAGTAAAAAACTTGCAAAATCTATTTTGTAATCCTAAAATATTGTTTCATTCCAATGTAATATCTTAACTTCAGAATTGGCCAGTAGATCACTCCACAATCACTCTCCGTGCCTCTGATTAAATGTATTATATATATATTTATTAAGTGTGACATAATTGTCAGACGTTTTCTTTAGCTTCGAGTCAATCCTTTCAACGTGAAGATAAAGGCTCATTATTTGTATTGAGATTTGTGATATGTTATAATATATTTTTGTTTTTTTACCAAAATTATTTGTGATATCGAAAAAAAATCTTTTCGTTGCTCGTGGCTGCTATATTGGGTAAGATTTTTTTTTTTTTTTTTTTTATGCTGTAACAAAATACCGAATGATTTGAAAGTTATATCGTCTAACAAATTTTTATCATTTAATATTACTAGACCCGAATTTGGAAAAATTGTATATTTTCCAAGCCTAATATTTTACTCTTTTGAACTGCGTGCACACTCTAATATGATACTTTTCAAAGATTCTAACTTCGAAAGAAAAAATAATTTCTAGCCTTATTTTCCTTAGGTTTTGTATCATGTCACTATATTTTTTTAAAGAGCTATATTAGGAACTCAAGTAAAAATATACTTATTAAATTATAAAAATAAATAAAGTCTATACTTAAATAATCTAATAATAAATTAGCATGCTAAAAGTCGTTAAAACAGAGTATTTATATATTATACTTTTTTAAGATATAATATAATATACTAAATAAATAATAACCCAAATTACAACTTTCATCAACTTTTGTAAAATGATTCTTTCTAATGAAAATGAAAATTTGATGAATATTCGGGGACAGCGTTGATAAAAAGTAATATTAAAATATATTAATATAATTTTAAAAATGCATGGATGTTTTTAGTTTTAAAATTCATAATTTGTCTCTGAAGAGGTTAACTGTTTATTACTGTAAAGAAATTCGCAATTGGTAAGGGCATTAGATAATAGTGACATAATAATAGTACAATAAAAAAATAATAATGAACGAATGATGATGATAAATGAACTAAATAAGAGAAAAATCATTACATAATTCAAATAAAGAAAATTAAAGTTTAGTCAAATAAATCATACTGAACACATTCATACTAATGTGAAACACTAGAACCGAGTCTAGGTAACATAGAACCAAACATTAATTCTCCGGTTCCTTAATGTTAAAGGCAAAACAGGGATCTATGGAGCCCACTGTTTTGTCAAGAGGTTAAGATTAAAAGTTGTAACAGGCACCTTAGCGCTGAAATATTCTAAATTGGACTTCGGAAAGATCCTTTTTGTGTTAAAATAAGTTAAATTACTTGGTATTTAAAAAATAAAATCTACTAAAAATCATTTTCTTTCATTATCGTAATGAAGTCCAAAAGCTGAGGCCGAAAAGGTGTTCTGATTTGAAGAAAATTTATTACCGTGGATTCCGAAAGTATTCTCACTACAGACCGCAAATATGGGCGTCTGCCATCCTAGATAAGATGCAATACAATTTTATGGATCAACAAAGCCACTTTTTTTGGGTTTTCTCTCATATCTGTAAAACTATCAATTGCATCGACAAAGACGTTCTATACAAAATTTTCAATATGATTTAACTATCTCGGTTAGTTTCCGAGATATCTGTCCTCAACTACCGCTAAAGTGGCAAAAAAAATTTTTACCTCATGTTTTTTACTGTATTTAAATTGCTAACTCATGATTGCTTCTATTTACGATTAAGTCACGAGAAAGAAAGTTTTTAATAATTAAATTTACTTTAAGAATATATACTAATTTACTAGTTTACTTTACTTCAACGGTTCAAATGTTAGATTAGTTATAACTGTGTATTTCGATTCCGTGAATTTAAAAAAATTATTTATTATACACGTTATTGTATATATATATATATATATATATATATATATATATATATATATATATATATATATATATATATATATAGAGAGAGAGAGAGAGAGAGAGAGAGAGAGAGAGAGAGAGAGAGAGAGAGATTAAGATGTATTGAGAGTTAGAGGAATGTAATAATAACGAATATTATAAACATTAATTTTTTCACAAATTCTCGGAATCGACATATAAAGTTATAACTGACCAAACATTTGAACCGTTGAAGATAAACTAGTAAATTAATATATATTCTTGAAGAAAATTTAATTATTAAAAACTTTCTTCCTTAATAGTCCGTGGTACAGACCACTTTTTATCGAATTATTAACATCGATCTGAAACTTCGTAAATAGTTGCATCTCATCGTACCCTACAGCTTATTTTATTTATGAAAACTCTTGGAATCGGGGCGTTTTCAATCTGGAGAGAGGCAAACCTTGTCTATTTAATTAGGTACTAAAAACTCGTAAATACTCATTTGCTTTCTAATTGGATCGTAAGGTAATTTGATCACAAAATCGAGAAAAATATGTGGCCTACAAAAATATTGGGCCGTTTGTCCTATATAACCTCGTTATTTTAAAAAAATTGGGGTGTAGTTCACGCCAAACCAATTAAAAAGCAAATGAGTATTTACGGAGTTTTTAGTATCTAATTAAATAAAAAAATTTTGTCCCCCTTCAGATTGAAAACGCATCAATTCCTAGATTTTTCGTAAATAAAATAGTTGTAGGTTACGAGAGGACAAAACTATATACGAAAATTCAGGCGGATGTTAATAATTCGATAAAAAGGAGTCTGTATCAAGGACTATAGTTCTTAAAACAATCAACAGTTAGATAGTTAAATACAGCAAAGAAACATGAGGTAACAAATTTTTTTTTCGAAATTAGCGATAGTTGCGGACGGATATCACGGATACTAAGCGAAATAGCTAAAAACGATTTACTATCAATCATATTGAATATTTTATCAGTTATAATTTTGTATAAAATGTCTTTGTCGATGCGATGGATAGTTCAGTGATATAAGTGAAACCCCCCAAAAAAGTGACTTTGATGACCCATCAAATTATATTTCATCTTATCTAGGGTGGGAGACGTCCATGTTTGCTTTCAATAGTGAGAATACTTCCTGAATCCACGGTCAAAAAGTTTCTTTAAATCAGACCACCTTTTCGGCCTCAGCTCCCGGACTAAAACATAAGACCTTCGTAAATATTTTAAAATGCTAACCATGAACGAGAAAGTACTAATGTTAATTAAAAAACCTTTAATTATTTCTAGTAATCAAAATTAAAGATAAATAAGAGGGAAAAAAAGAAGTTAATTTCGGAACTTAAGCCCTCCAACATTATCAATGATCAATTAAGGAGATTAGTCAAAACCCATACAACTTGTATACTGCTTTAGTCATAAAATATATATTGACAAAAGATCTTAACATTTGTGATTTTATATCTTCTTTTTATATTTCGCGGGATTGTTCTTATAGATAATTGTGATTTCTGGTTGTTGAAAGAGAATTAGGCAAGGTGTTTTATTAGTTGATTCAATGGAATTAATGAGATGTCAAATTGTTTTAAATTTCAATTGCGGAAAATAGCATATGCCTTGTGATTTTTATAGGAAGAAATATAATAATTTTTTTATTTATTCATTTGTAACAAAATTTTAATTTATAAAATTTACATTACTAAACTAACGAGATCATTTCCATCCACGAGAATTATCGTTTATTGTAAGGATGTTTTCACTTTATAGAATTTCCTCTTACCATAGGGAAATATTATTTTCAAATTATTATGAGAATATATCGGTCTATTCTCCGTTTGTTCAGAAAGACGAATTAGTACAGCATTATCGATGTAATATAATAATTTATGTTCATTTAGTAATAATTTAATTATATTTAGTTCATTATAATTTAAGTATTATGTATATTTAAATCCGCTGATTATGGATGTTTTAAGTAGAAAGATCAAACACCCAGTATTTAATATACAATACATAGCAGTTGCAAGTCAAATTTAGAATTTTTCTGACCGGATTGGGATTTTTTCAAATCAAATTTAGAACTCTCCAAACCAAGTTAGGATTTTTTCGAATCAAATTTAGTATTTTCTATTTCAAATTAGGATTTTACGAAATAAAGTTAATAATTTTTATAACAACAAATGGATACGAAATTTTATGTTTCTTATTAAATTACTTAGACGTAGTAGTAGTAATGAATAATAAGGTTAGGCGCTATAGTGTTTAAAGACTAATTTTATTTTATTGATCAGGCAGGTCTTTGACTTCTTCTTCGAATGAACCATGCAAGGTCAAGGGTAAATACTAGTGCAATAGTAAAAGTTTCTACTGTTAGAGGGAAAACGTAACAATTTTATTGACCATCAGTAGTGTTGCCCAAAATCGGTCTTGGTCTTGCAAAGTGCAAGGCCAAGAACAAGGACGCCTAACTGTTGCAAGACCAAGAACATGACTGGTAAAAAAAAATCGATTGTTTGAATAAAAATTAAGGCAAAATAGTTACCAATACTTGACAATTTTAGTTACTATATGTAAAGAATTGGTATAACCAATATACTTTTTCAATTATCAATCATAGTTAGGTTTTTCCCGACTAAAAAATACAGTAATATCTCTATAGTAATAAGCTAATAGGTGACTGCAGAACGATTGCGTTACTCTGACGCAAGACCAAGACTCGTCTCGGTCTCGCATTTGGGCAACACTAACCATCAAAACATCTCCAACACTAACATCTCCTCCTTCAAATCCGATAGAGGAAGCCCTCTCCAAAATAAAATTAGGAATAATTCTCCAAAATACTTTGTAGAGTACCAGTAATCTTCTCGTGCAGGTCTTTTTTTTTTTTTATCTATCTGTTTATTGAGTAATAATACATTTTGCCACACTTAAGGGCACTGAGTACTAAGGCTGAGTGAGGCACATTCATACCATATATACAATACATAAAAAAATAATAAATAAATAAATAAAAAATATAAAAAAAAATTATAAAAATCTATATAACAAAAGCAAAAACTATAATAAACCAAGGAAATGTCGTGCAGGTCTAACAAACAATCATTGAACCGAACAGCATTACGATTTGCGTTTGAGATTACCTTAAAATGTGCTATCTTTTCGTTATTGTTGGCCAATTTCTCTCCCTCTAACAGTAGAAACTTTTACTATTTTGCGTTTTGACTCTTGACCTTGCATGGTTCATTCGAAGATGAAGATAAAAAACCTGCCTCATCAATAACATAAAATTAGTCCTTAAACGCGGTAACGCCTAACCTTATTATTCATAATATGTACTACGTCTAAGGAATTTAATAAGAAAATTAAAATATCCTTTCTATTTGTTGTTATCAAAGTTCTTTAATTGAT